TGATTGAATGTGATTGAATGGCCTTTCTAAACTCCTGTTTAGTTGCAAAAACCATTCCCAACTCAAACATAGGATCAAATATGAGTTCAGGATTGAAAACATGAGTCTCTACCTCTGCCTCATTTTCACTATCAACTACGTCATCCAACTTATCAGGATTAGCAACCACATCTTCATTATCACTATCAATAGACTCTGACTCACTCTCTCCATTAGCACCTGCATCTACATGATCAAAGAACAATGCATCATCATCTTCACTACTAGCATCCTTCATGTCATAATCACTATCAAAGAATTCATCATAGTAGTCAATAGAATACTCAGTATCCTTATTACCCTCTGCGTCACTCAAATGAACACCTTTTCCTTTGTCAACCCCAGCAAGATTACCCTCACCATCAAGATTATCTTCAGTTGCATCATACTGACTCCTAGTCCCCTCACCAGCAAGACTACCATCCCCAGCAATATTATCATCACCTACATCATTGTGACTACTAATCCCATTACCAACCCCAGCAAGATTATTCTCTTGAGTAACACACTCTACACCAACAACATTATCCCCACTCTCACTATCAGACCCACTCTCAGACCCACTCTCAGACCCACTCTCACTCCCACTCCCAGTATCACTGTCACTCTCATCTAGATCCACCCAGCTACCTTCAATAGACAAACTAGAAGGTTCAAAAGTGTTGAAAACTTCAACAAATACAGTTAACTCTCTGTCAGATAAATAGCAATTTGCCCAAATTCTAATGTCATCATCCCTTCCTATCCTTATCAGAATCAACCCAACCTGTATGAAATATCTCCTATCACCAACCACACCAAATTTTGTGGAAAACATTTTTAGTTTCTTTTCAGACATTTCATTAGCAGGTACAAAATCAAACACCATTTTATGGCTACCTTCATACACTCCAAAGTCTGACTTTTGGAATTTACCACCACACCACAAGATGAAAGTCATTAGGTCCGTTCTTCGATCTATGCATATAGAAAGAAAAAAAAAAATAGACAATAAATAATTCACCTAATATAATAACAAAAACAGGTGGGGGCACCATTTTCAAACCAGACAAAGAGACATAATAGCACATGGGGTCAACTAATTTGGAATAAACAACCCTAAAATCGGAGAAAGGGACATGATTTCCACCTCATAATAAAGAACCCTAAAATTAGACTAGGGTTTTGAAAAAATTCGAATAACATACCGTAGCTTGGATTGGGGGAATCCCAGTAACTATTCGATCTGATTTTGATTCTAGTCTTCTCCATAGATTAAACTAAAGAACATCTATAATTGCTTGAATAAATTTCGGATGGAATTAAAGGGGGAGATTTCTGTAATCGAAAAAGAAATGAAATGAACCATCGTCATTTCTGCTTTCTCTTTCTTCTTAGTAGTGACCGTCCATTTTCCGTCCAATTTCCCTCCAATTTCGTCCGAGGTGGCAATGTTACTTTGCCATCTCATTTTCTTTTTTTTTTAATGTTTTTATTTCCACGTCGAGTAGGGTGCAAGTCCACGTGCGCAAGAACCGGGCCAGGTCGACATTAATCGGGTGAAAATGGGTCACGTGGGCGGCACGTGCAATTTCCGGCCAAAAATCCCCAAAATTGACGTGAGAAGGACTAAAATTGCGCCAAAAAATTTAATTGCGGGACTAAATGTGGCACATTCCTATAGGAGAGGACTAAAATTGCACTGACATCCAAAAGTCAAGACCAAAAATGCATTTTAGCCAAAAATAAATTACATATATCCTTTTGGATTTAAAATCCAGTAAATAAAATAAAAAATGCAATTTTCCAGCTCCTTAATTGTTTATATCTGCCTGCAGTATAGAAAAAAATATTAATGATATCACATAAAATCGTGAAATATATGTACAACATAATTCTAAAATTAAAGCAATTAATGTAAAATCATGAGGAAAAATAGAAAAATAAAATATCAAACAATACAAATATAAAAAAAAAAAAAAAAATAGATTCTCATTCATTCTTTTAGGGAAATTAGCAATTATTGGTTTCCATCAATCATGGAATTTTAATCACGAATTCGATGTAATTAAATAAATTTGACCAAGGGACAATTATTTTTCAGCATAAATTATGGATATACACACGTTTGTGTACTCATGGAATTTTGTTATTAAATATTATCTATACACAAATTAATCATGAATTTAATGTAGTTAAATAATTTTTGACAAGGGACAATTATTTTTCAACTGAAATTATGGAGATGGACACGTTTTTGTCCCTTATAAATACTAAAACATTTTTCAAATTATAACGAATACGCCAGTGAGACCGCATCGAATTGGATCACTCCATTTCACAAAACAACTATCACCCCCATTTCAAAATTCAACCACAGAAAACTCATCTACAAATGTCTTCCTACTTTGATAATCTCACTTATCTTGCCAAGAACAAAAACAAAACATCAATTTTGAGATTAATTAGGTTTTACCCCAAAAAAAGAGAATCAAGCTTAGAATTTGTGTTTCATGATGTCAAGGTAGATATCATGTTTATATGTTACTCTTATTAATAATTTGACATATATTCTATTTTTTACTTATTTTTTTTAGACATCAATAAAAGATTTTTTATTTTATTTTTCAGGGGGAGCGCATTCGTGAGTCCGCACCGGATAGCTTGGCTGAAAATTTTGGACTGTTGGTAAATGGTGAAGGGAATACATATGGAATAGAGAATTTCATTGTGGAACCCGATCGCAACATGCTCAAAACTACCCCCAAAAATGACCAGTTTTTGTTCAATGACGAAACTGAAATTAAGGATGTTTTTGATAGAGACTACCCAAGGTTCATGTTTAATTTCAAGGAGTTCGGTGATCTGGCGGATCCATCTTGCATCGACTCCTCAAGGCTAATTGGTAACATTTATATACTTTATAATTTTTTTATTTAGACTTTTCTTACACTAAACTGTTTTTTAAAGCTACATTTATATTAAATTCTAGATGTGATTGGTCGAGTCGTGTTCTTTCAAAGCGTACAAAAAGCAATGTCGAGAGGTGTAGAAAAGAGATTTATTGATATTCTTCTTGAAGATATTCAGTAAGTTTAAATTACCGAATATTAATATTAATTTTCATTATCTAAATATTATATAATCTATCAATATATAATTGCTAGCTAACCAATTAATTTTACATAATAAATAAACCTAATAAATTTTACCTAGCTGGCACTATTCCACTTTTCACCTCAAAATCGGTTACATTTCTATTATTTATCCAGCTTTAATTAGCTTAACATATTAATCCTACTTTTATTTGCTTTACATAATAACATGTGATGGGTCTCTTCTCAGATCTGGAACGGTCCAATGGGAAAGCGTCCGGATCTGGGATGAACCGGTGCAAATGAGCTTAGATCTGATGTGATGGCGTTCGAACCGTTATTAAGCCGCAAGAACACCTGCAAGAACTCAACGCCGGAGGGGTTTCCGGCGTAGAGCCTCCGACGCTCAAGTCAGTATGTGAAAGAGATCAGGGAAGCTGCTATGAGAGCAGCAGCAGTAATGAAAAGAATATGGAATGAATGGGAGTTAGGGTTTTGGGATTATCTCAGTCCTTTATATAGAAGTGCAACATTTACCTGAAGTCCCCAAAGTACCCCGGCCGACTTACTGGAAATGCCCAGAATACCCTGGTCGGTTCGTATTCTGCCTAGCATCTAGATCCTTCCTTGGCTTCCTTCTTATCCTTAACTCTTCCTCAATATGCTGAGGTGTGTCAAAGCTATCGAGAACCACGAACTGCAAGACTCCTTCAGTCGACCTAAGATATTGAGTCGAGTCGACTGGATCGCATTCAACCGTTAGTGGACCCTGATACGTCTGACCGTTGTCTTGGTAGAGGTAGACTTATTCTAATCGACAGGTGTACGTCGACTCGGTCAAGAGCCAGGATTCTTGACTGAGCATCGTGGAACCTTACTGGCAGAGTCGACTGTGTCGAAGTCGACTTGATAATTTCGAACCGTGAAGATATGAACCGTTATGAGCCAGTGTGGCTATATCATGTTTATTGAGCCGTTACACGACAGTATGGCTATATCAACATGAGATATATTTTTTCAAAGTCTTATTTCAGTTTTAGAGTGTGATTTCAGTTTTAGTGGGCGACATTATGTCTATTTAAGCATAATTTTTGCCGAAAAAAAAAGAATTACATTAATGATTTAAAATACACAAAAAATAAATTACATTTATCCTTTTGGATTTAAAATCCAGTAAATTAAAATAAAAAATACAATTTTCCAGCTCCTTAATTGTTTATATCTGCCTGCAATATAGAAAAAGAAAAAACATTAATGATATCACATAATGTCGTGCATTATTTGTACAACAAAATTATGAAATTAAAGCAATTAATGTAAAATCAGGAGGAAAAATAGAAATATAAATATCAAACAATACAAATATAAAAAAGGCAGATTCTCATTCATTTATTAGAGGAATTAACGATTATTGGTTTCCATTAATCATGGAATTTTGTAATTAAATATTATTTATACACAAATTAATCATGAATTCGATGAAAATAAATAAATTTGACCAATGGATAATTATTTTTCATTATAAATTATGGAAATACACATGTTTGTGCACTCATGGTGTAATACCCCGTTTGTTTAAAAATAATTGGGATTATTATTATTATTATTATTATTATTATTATAGTTATCATTATTATTATTATAATTATTATCATTATTACTATTATTATTATTATTATTATTATTATTATTATTATTATTAATTTTCTAATTGTTATTAGTTGTCTATTATTAATAAATGATTATTGTATGTATTAAAT